GCTGAGCCTGGAGCAAAGGAGGCTCAGGGGAGACCTTCTGGCTCTTGACAACGGTTGGATTGGATGACCTTAAGGTTCTTTTCCACCCTAAATTCCTCTCTGGCCCTCAGGCTGACAGCACCTCACCTCCTGGGCGTTGTGGGCCTGGATTCCTTCATCCCACTTCTTCCTGTTGGTCTCCAGCAGCTCTTGTCGTTCCAGCTCAAACTCTCTCTGAGGAGGACACAGAGACCTTCCTCACCCTTTGGCACCACTCCTTGCCCACCTGACCCCATTTTGGGGCCAGCAGCCTCCAGGAGAAGACCTGCTGCAGGCTGAGGAACACACCCTGGTCTGCTCTCCCCACGCCAGGAGCCTCTGCTGGCAGAGACCTCCCAGTGTGACCCCGTTGGGGAGGGACTGAAGCCACCCAGGAGTGACAGCCACCGAGCTGCTCTGTGCCCAGCCACGGTGTCACTGAGGGCAGGGTGTGAACCAGCTCCTCAGCATCATCCCCTGCTCTTCCTTGGCCAGATTCCAGCCTCTTGCACCAAGACATCAGCCCTGATGCTCTGGACAGGGGTCAACCCACTCCAGGCAAGGAGCCTGAGGCTGGTTTTTTGCCACAGACAGGGAGAAGCAAGAGGCTGCAGGGTTTTTCTCAGGGTTTGGGGGTGCTGAGCCTGGAGCAAAGGAGGCTCAGGGGAGACCTTCTGGCTCTGCACAGCTCCTGACAGGAGCCTGGAGCCAGGGGGGGGTCGGGCTCTGCTCCCAAGGGACAACAGGACAAGAGGAAAGGGCCTCAAGTTGCCCCAGGGGAGGTTTCAGTTGTCCCTGAGGAACAATTTCTTGCCCTGGAGGGTTGCCCAGGGCTGTGCCAGGCTGCCCAGGGCAGTGGTGGAGTCCCCACCCCTGGAGGGGTTCCCAAGCCGTGGAGATGTGGGGTGAGGGACACGGGGCAGTGGAGACCTGGCAGGGCTGGGGGAGGGTTGGACTGCAGGATTTGAAAGATCTCTTCCAACCCAAACCCTTCTCTGGTGGCTCACTGGACTCTTCCTCCAGCAGATGTCCTGGTTACCTCAATCTGCAGCAGTCTGTGGCGGTAAGTCCTCAGCAGGAGCCTGATCTGCTCCTCCATCCTCTCCAGAAGCAGGTGGATCTCCTCTGACTGTTGCCTGATGGCCTCCTCATACTGCTCATCTTTCCTCCTCAGCTCCTGGAGGAGGAGAGAAGATGCTGACCCCAGAGAGAAGCATCTGCCCAGGAATCCTCAGGGGTTAACTGAGAGGGTGAGACCTTTTCCAAAGGAGAAGAGGAGATGGGAGCAAAGAGCCAAATTCAAGAGGTAGTTGGGGAGGAAGATGAGAGAGAGACAGATCATTGAGAGGGTTCATGCCTGCAGACACAGCAGTCCTTTTCTGAAGGCCATGGAGCCTGCTGTGGGAAGGACTTCCCTCAACACAGCCACACCTCAGTCCTTGCTCCTTGGCCTTGTTATGGCTGCAGCCTGGAGAGCTGCCAGCCTGTCCTGCTCCCAGGGTGCTGGGTGTCTGTCCTTGGACCCTGCACCCTGCCCAGGGCACCCCAGCTGCTGGGGAAGGGTCTGGAGAACAAGTCTGGAGCTGGGGGTGCTGAGCCTGGAGCAAAGGAGGCTCAGGGGAGACCTTCTGGCTCTGCACAGCTCCTGACAGGAGCCTGGAGCCAGGGGGGGGTCGGGCTCTGCTCCCAAGGGACAACAGGACAAGAGGAAAGGGCCTCAAGTTGCCCCAGGGGAGGTTTCAGTTGTCCCTGAGGAACAATTTCTTGCCCTGGAGGGTTGCCCAGGGCTGTGCCAGGCTGCCCAGGGCAGTGGTGGAGTCCCCACCCCTGGAGGGGTTCCCAAGCCGTGGAGATGTGGGGTGAGGGACACGGGGCAGTGGGGACCTGGCAGGGCTGGGGGGTGGTCGGACCCCATGATTTGAAAGTTCTCTTCCAACCCAAACCCTTCTGTGATTCTCTCCTACCCCTCCAAGGTCTCACTCTCCACACTGGGACACTGACCCTGCAGCCCATGGCGCCGTTTAGACCCAAACCAATGGACCCTTCAGATCCCTGCCATGCACTGGTGGCCAGCAGAGCCACACTGGGATGCCCACTGCTCTAGAACAGCATCCTCCAGCCCTTGAGGGTCCCCTGTGCCCTGCCTGGTCCCCACACTACCTGCTGCAGCTCCCTGATGAGCCTGTTCTTCTCCTCCAGCAGCAAGGTGCACTGCTGCTGCTGTTGATCCAGCAGCTCCCACAGCTCCTCAGGGATCCTCATCTCCTTGGCTGAGGCCCATCTGGAGGTGATCTCCTCAAACCTCTCCGTGCTGGACTTGGCTTCACGCTCCAGCTTCTCCACCCTGCAGGCAGTGAGGAGCAAAGAGGGAGCTGGGGCAGGGCAGGGAGTGGCTCTGCCAAGGTGGTGTGGTCCCTGCTGCAGGAGAAGGTCCCTGAGCAGCCCAGATGGGATCCCAAGTGGGGTGGAGGCAGCACTGGAGCTGCAGCTTTCCTGCAAGGGCTTGGGCAAGGGCAGGGCTGGCATCCTGCAGGTCCTTCTCCCCTGACAGGCATGGGAGCACAGAAGGGTTTGGGTGGGAAGGGACCTGTCAAGGTCACCCAGTGCAACCCCCTGCAGGGAGCAGGGACATCTGCAGCTAGAGCAGGGTGCTCAGAGCC